TTGAGATGGAACGCCAAAATTTACTATGTCGAAACTCGATCTCCACAGCACCCAACGAAGCCCTCGAGGTGATGACCAACTTTGGTAAAGAACTTAGGCCTAAATCCCAATGGATTTGGAGAAATCAAAGAGAGAATGTGACTTCTAGAGAGAGAACATAAAGATCTCAAAATCTGGACAGTTTTAGAGAGAGAGAGAGTGCTGCAAAAATGATTCAAAATATCTGATCTACGAACTGATATAAACAGGCTCGCTCGAGCGAAGGAGTTGTCGCTCGAGCGACCAGATACAACAAATCTCCTCGCTCGAGCGCAAGAAGCCTCACTCGAGCGTAAAATACTAAGCTTCAGAAGTTTTTCAGACGCACTCCTCGCTCGAGCGCAAGAAGCCTCGCTCGAGCGAGCGACTCTTTTCTGTAGAAGTACTGGGAGTTCACAAAGCTCGCTCGAGCGCAAGAAGCCTCACTCGAGCGAAGAGCCAAAAATTCAGGACAACAAAAGTTTGAACAACTTGCAACTAACCAGTTCCAAACACTCCCAAGACATCCCAAAACTCGAACTCAAAGAATGGAAGGAAGAAAAGACGTAGATAATATTATCTAACCATAAAACCCGAGTCCAGAACACCACGAAGGACGGATCAATAACCGGAATCGCTATATATTCCAACAGATACATTAAGAAAAATAATACTGTTAATATCCAAGAAAATATCATTTTCTTTCCATACTCATTCTCTAAGCATTATTCAACTACGACATCCTATTTTGATCCAAAGCCCCAAAAGTTAAACGTAATTCTTTTGTTTTCTTTAAAAATACTCTTTTGGTAGCAAAACGGTAAAAATTTCAAAACCGATCGAATCGAAGTCCGTTTTTGTTCAAATTTAAAACATAGCTCTTTCATAACCTTAAAACATATTCCAAGTTTACACTTTCGTAATTTGAGCATCAACTCTTTATTTTTCTCAAAATTTCTCTTTTAAGCAAATAAATCACGAATTTTTCAAAAATTCTAATTAAATTATACAATCTAAGCTCCATATAATCAAGTAAAAGTGCAAAAAGAAGTGTAGGAAAAATCCCTACCTCAAGCCAAGAAGCTTTCAAAATTTTTGGCAACAGAAATTAAATCTATTCGGAGCCAAATGACGCATTTTCCGCCCTCTACGTTTTGATCCAAAGCACTAAGGGTCAAAAATGATTTAACCTAGATCAAACCCATGAAAAACAAACTTGGAACCCCTTTTTTCTTCTTTCCTCACGGCAAGAACTCCAAGAACTCCCAAAAGTAAGTAAAAAAAATCTATTTGGTCACTTTTATAGATATTTTTATTTTTTATTTTTTATTTTTAACTAAAGAAGCACAATTACAATTTTGATTCACAAGTTGAAAGTCTCTTGAATGATATAAAAAGGGGTAAGTTCTGTATTATTATATTAATTTTTATTTATTTATTTTTGTTCTTTGTGTTTTTGAAAGAAAAAAAAAAGTCCAAAACTCTCTCATCTTTTCATATTGTTTCCCATTTTTGTGCATAAATACCTATTGAAATTCATAAAACAAGTTAAAAGTGTTTTCTAAAAATGTGGTTTTTTCAGAAAATTTCCCATAAAATATTTTTCTCGTATATTTGCCAAACAAAATTTTGTATTTATTTTTATTTTTATTTTTATTTTCAAAAAATTGTATAATTATGTCAAAATTTTAAATTTTATTATATATATATATATATTTAAAATTTCAAAATTGGTCAATGTAATTTAGTTTTTGTTTTTCTAATTCTAAATCGTCGGTTGTAAAGTTCCATTTTGGGCATACATGCAATCCACGTGCTTGTATATGCATGAGTACTAATGAATATTTGTAATCTAATTAATAAATTCCAGCCTCAACCACCATCACTCCTCACACCCCTTTTCTTTTTTTTTTGGTTAAATTTTTTAGACCAAATATTTTAATTATCAAAAATTTTAATATTGTATTTTAAATTTGACATTTAGTACATTACTATACTTTTGGAAATTAGACAATAAATCAATATCCTTTTGGGACAAAATTTTTTGTCTTGAAAAATAAATCTTTGGTTCAAGGTTTTTATTTTTTTATGTCTTTAAAAGTGCATTTATTAACAATATTTTTATTTTTTTCGTGGCTAAAGTCAATTTTTTGATATTTTAGGACCGTTTACGATGCACATGAGGACTTGAATTAATCTCATAATATTTTTTGTAGCAAAATTTTCTTTTTAAGGAGGAAAAATATTGATCCCTAAAATCTGTATATGTTGTAGTGTTAGTTCAAGTTATCATTTTAATATTAATAATTTCTGATATTTTTATCAATTTTTTTTTTTAAATATTGTTATTCTTCATGAATGTGGAACCATTAGGGTTATATATTTGATAAGACACAACATTGTTATGACAAAGGTGTAATTGAAGCTAAATATCACTTGAATTTCCATGAAGATGAAGATGTTCATAATCAATGTCACTGCCACGTCGGATTCAAATAATTTAAAGAAGTATATCTTTTAAATCATATCCACATATATATTTAATAATGACACACATCTTTGTCCTTTCTGCCCATTAATTGTATTTTAGTTTGTTGCCATCTAAGTCCAGAAGAGAGAGAGAGATGTCAAATTGTTGTAAATGGTCCTAGTCGGGGACACCAAAGCACCCAGTATAGAAATCAACAAAAGTGGTCATCTGTCCAAGGGCAAGATGGGCACATAATTATTGTTTGTGGCGCGGGATTATTTGTCCTCAAAATTTTTGTTTATTCCAAGCTTCGTTTAGAAATAAATTATTTTAATAATTTTTAAATTTTTTATAAAAAGATGTGCAGAAAAATAGAGAGAGTGATGTGATAACTTATAGTGACTTTTTGACTTTTTAACTAAAACATATAGTTACCAAACAAAACCATAATGTATTTTTAATCACGTCAAATTTAAAGTTAGAACAAATTGATTTTGTTTTAGGTTGTGTAGTTATAAAAAAACACATGATAATTTAATAATTTGATTTTTTTTTTTTTCCTTTTTCAAAAGAGGTCAAAATTAAATTTATTTATACTATTATTATTATATAAAGTAAACTCTTGAATTGAGTAGATGTCACAGATTTTTTTTCCTTCCAAATACTCATTACCGTGCGGCTGTTATTCAATTATTTCAAATAAGTATCATCACCAGATTTAATTATTTGGATTCAACTATCACGAAATGTGTGTGCCTATTTTTAGTTAAAATAAAAATTTTGACACAGAAAATCCGTGCATGTGGGTTCTGACAAGATCGCACGTCAATGACAGCTTCATCCCACATGCATTCCCACTGGTCTCACACAACTCACTATTCATAGACTTATTGTAATTGTTGAAAAATATATTTTAAAAAAGTATTCTAATGTATCAAATTTTTAAAATTTATAGAAGATGTATTAAAAATTATAAATATTTCAGCATTTTATATGATTCATTTTAACAGGATCCATATCTTATTATAATTTCTTAATGGCTAAATTACACTTTTATTTCTATAATTTAATCAAGTCAAGTCACTACAAGAAAAATCACCTTTGACGAATAAATTTTTAGTCGCCAAAAGTCATATTTTTACCTTCCCCGACTAAATTTTTAGCTACTAAAAAACCTTTCGTCACTAAAACCTACACATTTGGCGACTAAATCTGTTTTTAGTCGCCAATAACTATACATTTGGCTACTAAACTCTTTTAGTCGCCAAAAGTCTTCACTTTTGACTACTAATTCCATTTTAGTCGCCAATTGTGCTACTTTCAGCGACGAAAATTTGGTTTTTAGTCGCCAAAACTGCTTTTCCTTGTAGTGAGTCTCAATTTTGTAATCCCGTTTACATTTTAATTAATTAATTAATTTTTTTTTTTGTATATATACTTCAGGAAGCTAACAAATATAACAAAATCATTAAATTTAAGAAAAAATTAGTAAAACATTCCTCTCTAACTTTAAATAGTAGGAGAGGTCCGATATATTATTTTTTATTAGCTAAGGTCCCTCGATGAAATTTCTCTGTGATCATATCATAAATTTTTTAAAATTTCTCTATGAAATCAGAGAAATTTCTCTATGTCGATGCTAAATTTCTCTGTGTTAATTTTTTTCTATGAAAATGTTGATGGATCCCAACTACCTATGAAAATATTTTATATCCTTTACCTTATAAAATATTAATATTAGAGACTTTAAAAAAAAATCTCCTAAATTTAACTTTTAATTTGAATGAAAATATCAAATTAAAATTAGACTTAAATTATAAATGTTAAATTATTTAAATTAAAATAATAGAGATTAAAGTGATTTTAAAAATAAAAATAAAAATAAAAAACTCAGTAATTTACCATTTCTCAATCATGACACACAAATTCGGAAAAGTCTACAATGTGCATTCACAAAAAAGAACACATGATATACACCTCATAATTTTACTCACAAAAAATATAACACAACTTACAAAAAAGTATAACTTAAAAAAATTATCATAAATTTTGTACAAAAAGATATAAAAATTGTAACTTTTCTCACAAAATGTATAACACATCTCACAAAAAGTATAACATTCAAATTTTTACAAGTTTCTTTTGAAGACACAAAAATCATAACTTCACTCATAAAATGTATAACACCACTTACAAAATGTATAACTTTCAGATTTTTACAACTTTTCATCGAACACACAAAAATCGTAACTTCGCTCACAAAATATATAACACCATTCACAAAAAATATAACACCACTCACAAAAAAATATAATATTCAAAATTTTCACAACTTATTTTTGAAGTCACAAAAAATTATAACTCCTCACAAGATATATAAGACTAACCACGAGTATAACATTAAAATGCACACATGATAACGGACCCCCACAAACTCTCAATCATTGACACTAGACAAACTCATAAATATCTATCTACCTACCTCCATGGCTGCACATGTATAAATACCAGCACAAACCTATATGTTTTCCCTCACACTCAAAACACCTTCATTTCTTTGTGCCATCTTCTTCTTCATATACTTGGATAGAAAATGGTAATTGAGAAGTGTAAGGATATTGAAAATGGTGACAGCGATGGGATTGAGGATTTGGGAAAACCCCTTATTGAGAATAAGAAAGTTGTTGATTCTGAGGATGATAACAGTGATTTGGGTGACCAGAAAGGTTCCAATGCAATGGTTTTGCTCAGTACTGCTGTTGCTGTCTGCGGCTCGTTTGAGTTCGGATCATGTGTGAGTATCTATTTTATGCCAAGAATTCTCTGTTCAAAGATTCCCATGTCTTTAAGTCTTATTTTTTTTTTTTTTTGGTTTTTGGTCAGGAACACCAAAAATTACAAAATATTCACACACAAAAAGAAGAAAAGAAAGAATTTGTTTAGCTTATGTTGATTTTTTTTGCAGGTGGGCTATTCAGCACCCACTCAATCTGCTATAAGGGAAGATCTTAATCTTTCCCTAGCCTGAGGTTTGCTTTCTTGAACTTGTTTTTTTATTTTTTATTTTTAATCTTTATGAATTGGTGTCAAAGTATATGAATTGTATTAACTTGTTTATCATCTTCTTGCAGTATTCCATGTTTGGCTCCATATTGACCATTGGTGCCATGATTGGTGCTATTTCAAGTGGCCGAATTTCGGACTTCTTTGGTCGAAAAACGGTATGTGTAGTGTTTTCATTTTTTGGAAACCATAAAAAATTTGTTTGGCAAATTTTTTTCAAGAAAAAAATTCTGAAAATAAACCTTTCTGGGGGAAAGACCAAAAAGTTATTCCAAAAAGGGTTATTTTCTAGGACTGTTTTTTTTACAAAAATGAAAAGGATGAGTGTTTTCAAATTTTTCACTGTGTTAGTTACTGAAAACCTAAAAAATGAAAATAAAGAAAACGAAAAACCACAAAAAATTTCAAGCTTCTGATAAAGCTATCATGAAGCTCAAGCTATATCGTTAGAATTAATTAATTATTTTTTTTTGGGTATTTTCATGCAAGCAGGCAATGAGGTTGTCAGCAGCTTTTTGCATCACAGGATGGCTAGCAGTCTACTTCTCTATGGTATGCACATCAGATTTTTCAAGATTTATAGTCCGTTTGGATTGCATGATTTGGAGAGAAAAGAAAACAAATATAAATCTCTTGGCACTAAACAAAAATGAAACATTAAAAATCAGTATTGTGATGCCATATATTTCTCTTTGTATTATGATTGTATACAGGGAGCTTTGTTACTTGATGTGGGAAGATTCTTCACTGGCTATGGCATTGGAATTTTCTCTTTTGTGGTAAATATTCCACAACTGGGCTGTTAACTTTAGTTTCAAAGGCAAGTTTGGTATCATTTTTTTGTTTCTGTTTGTTATGTTTTCAAAAATAAAAATAATGAAAAGTTATAAAATACCCGTTGTTTTCTTCTTTATGCAAAATCAGTTTCCGCAAGTTTCAAAGTTTTTTTTTTGGTTTCATAAAAAGTGGGTTATTTTTGCAAAAAGTCTTAAAAAGAGTTTTGAGAACAGTTCCGAACAAGTTTTTGTATTTTCCAGAAATTGAAAGCAGAAAATGAAAACAATACCAAACAAGCCTGTCTTTTGGGACCTGATAAGGTTTATTCTTCAAAACTCACGATTGAGCAAACCTGATTGATAAACAGGTCCCCGTGTTTATCGCTGAAATTGCACCAAAGAATCTCCGCGGAGGGCTCACAACACTTAATCAGGTGGGGAGGAAAATAAATCTAATCTTCTGTTCAGTTGTTTTTTTGTGACTGATTAAAAAGTTCATTAAAATTTTATGATCCCATTTTTTGGTTCTTCTTGATCTGCAGCTCATGATTGTTGCTGGTTCATCACTTGCTTTCTTGATGGGAACAGTCATAACATGGCGATCACTAGCCTTGACGGGTAAATGCCAATTCTGTACCACACCGTGCAATAATTTAAAAAAATCAGAAACGGTTGAACCTAACTAACCAAAAGCAATTTTTATGCCAAACAAAGAAAAGAAAAAATAGGACCACACAAGAGATTCAAAAACTGATTGATAGGTTTGATTTGAAGGACTTTTACCCTGCGTTGTCCTGCTCTTGGGCCTATTCTTCATTCCAGAGTCGCCGAGATGGCTGGTGAGAAAGCGTTCCATATGAATTTCTCAGAATTTTTGTTGTTAATGCAAAAATTGGTGAGGAATGAGACTAAATTTTTATGATTTCAGGCAAAGGTAGGCCTCGAGAAGGAATTTGAAGCTGCACTACAAAGGCTTCGTGGCAATGATGCTGATGTTTCACGGGAAGCAGCAGAAATCCAAGTAATTCTCTTTTTTTGAGAAATTTCATATCAAATGGCCTTAAAATAGGATCAGCATTTGCAAAACTAGTTTTTTATTTTATTTTTAATTTTTTATAATCTTGACAGACTTATATTAAAACACTTCAAAGTCTTCCAAAAGCTGGACTGTTGGATTTGTTTGACAGAAAATACATCCGTTCTGTAATTGTAAGCAACTTCACAACTTGTTAAAGCATTCGAACCTTTATGACTAAACTTTTACTCGTAGACGTTAAATTTCACTTTTTGGGTTTTGAACTTGGTTATGTTTAGATTGGGGTCGGATTAATGGTATTCCAACAATTTGGAGGCATAAATGGAATAAGTTTCTACGCCAGTCAAACCTTTGTCGCTGCTGGTAAATCCTGATTAGTCTATTCCAATTATTCAAATGCACATTGCAAACTATGACACTAACACTTTAAATTTTCACATTGGCAGGACTTTCTTCGGGCAATATTGGAACCGTAGCTTATGCCATAATTCAGGTTTTTCCAAATCTCTGGTTGTCCTCAAAAGAATCTAATCTTTTACATCTAAACTAGCCAATGAGATAATTATCTTTACAGGTTCCGATAACTATAGTTGGAGCAGTACTAATGGACAAATCAGGAAGAAGACCGCTTCTCATGGTGAGTACTTAGCAGTTTTAATTAGCACTTTCCCGGATTCACTCGTTGAGGTAAAAGCACAGTGAAAAGATTCTGAAAACTAATCGAAATGGTTCTGCAATTTTTAAGGTGTCAGCAACCGGAACATTTTTAGGATGCTTCCTCACCGGAGCCTCTTTCTTCCTCAAGGTAAAATACCAGAACTGTAAATGTAAAACCGTTTGTGTGAATGTATAATAAAAAAACAAACTATTTTTCATTGCAGACTTGATGGTTTTTCATGATCTTTTTGAATCAGGGCCAAAGTTTGTTGCATGGATGGGTCCCAATACTGGCTGTTTCTGGAGTCCTGGTAAATTAACAATCACCAGCTGGCATGCTACAATTACCATGACGCTGTTTGGCAAAAATTATTTGCTGAAAACCCTAAAGGTTTTTGCCAAATACAGAACTATTCAAAGTACTTAAACTGCTTAAGCATGAAATTTCAAATTTTACACTAAATAAACCGCAAATAAGCTTTTCCAAACGGGCCATGACACAATTCATAGGACTTCAAACTATGTTTGCCCATCTTCATGTTTTAACATTTTTCTTCTCAATGAGAACAGATATACATATCAGCATTTTCAATTGGAATGGGAGCAGTTCCTTGGGTCATTATGTCTGAGGTAAATTCCTAACATGTGAGAAAATATTTAATTGGTTCTTGAGAAAAATTGAAGAACATAAAGAAGAAATTGGGATTCAGCATTTTCCATTTCTCGGTTTGGAAGCATGTCAATCTGACTTTTTCAATTCATACATTTTCACAAATGATCAGTGTAACGCCCTCATAATAATAACATTTAAACCCAACAATTTAGACATGCATTAGTATAAGAGATAAATATTCTTCTATTCATCAGAGTGGTTCTTTACAAAAGTATTACATGTTAACAACAAAAGCAAATGCCCTACGGGCTTACAGCTTTCCAAGTTAACACTTGGTTATAAAAAGAAGAGTGCTAACTCAATACATATTAAGCCCTTGGCTTGAATTTACATGTAATACATCAAAAAGCAAATAACGAGTAGTTAGTCTGCCTCTAGCCTCCCAAGCTATGTCCCTAGAAGTGGCATGCTACCTGTACTTGAAAATGATGTCCCATAAAGCGTGAGCCATAGCCCAGTAGAAATACATTAAACCAGCCATGAACAATGACTAAAAGATTAGCAGTTGATAGATGGTCAACACAGATACATCCACATATATCACATTTCGATTTCATGACATTAAGTCCATGTTACATTTCATTTCTCATATCTTTTTTTTTTTAACTTTGAGTTTGAAACCAAGGCTCAACACCTAGCCAAAAGACTTAATGAGATTTAGACTCATCTTAAAAACACTTTCAAAATTTCTGAGGGGTACACATTTTAATGCTGTATCAATAACACTTAAACCATTCCTACACTTTGCGAAAGATACACATCTCGGTGCTGTATCAACATTACATAGAATCACTTCTATACTTTACAATTGATAACGATATACATTTTAGTGCTATATCAAATCAATTCAAACACTTCCATAATCAACACTTGATACACATTGTAGTGCTGTATCAATGTCACACAAAATCCGGTTTAGAGGTCCATCCCCTATCTTCCCCTAAATCGTGGAGTACATCATCTATCTCCTCCCATACAACACATGTATATAAACATATGTCATATACATTCAATCAATACATAGAATTAATGTATTATTCCAGTTGCTATATTCAATAGCATACTCAATCGATTAGTTTTAGTTTGCCTAATCATCATGCAGTGTCTACAATAAGACTATCTTCCACCGATAGCCCAAAGCAGTTATTTCTATACTGAAAATAAATGCACCAAATGGATATAGAATCAACATTTCAACTAGGTGAGCTATGAATAAATCAAACTACACCCTTTAATTCCCATACACATCCAATTCTAACATTCTCGATTTAATTCTTCTTTCTTTCAAATTAATTATCCCAATTAATTTATCAATGTAATTAGAGCATTTCTCATAATTAACATCACAACCCCAAGGTTCCATTTTTACCAATAAACCAATATTGATCTCATTTCTCTATGCCAAACATGCATACAAGTTCATATAAATAAAACCCCAACTTTTGTAAAATTATACAAAGGCCCAAACTTTCTCAAAATTACCCACTAACCCCCAACTCATCAAAATGCTAAAATTCAAAGACAAAACTCATGAGAAGGAGTAGGATATCCCTACCTCGAAGTTAGAGCTTAAATGGGGAAGTTGAAGAAAACCAAAATGCTCCAAACTCAAAGATCCACGGATCAAAATAAAGCCCTCGACGATCCACACACTTTTTACAAAGGCCGGAGGATAGAGAGACACTCTAACTAGATCAAACCCTAGAGAGAAGGGAGTTTCTAGAGAGAGGAGCTCTCAAAATAGATTTTTAGAAAGTAAGAGAGAGAGCGAGAATGTAAAAAGTGATTTTAAAATGCCCAGCTGGCAACGGATATATGACATTCCCGCTCGAGCGGAGAACACAACGCTCGAGCGTCAGGAACAAAAAACTAGGTACGCTCGAGCGCCAAGACACAAGAATAAAATATATCCGCTCGAGCGCGAAAACCAGTCCACTCGAGCGTAGATTTCCCCCTCCCAGAACTTACACCAAAAAGTACTATCCGCTCGAGCGCCACAGCATCCGCTCGAGCGCTACCGCTCGAGTGTAACGAAACCCGCTCGAGCGTAAAAATCATACCTGCAGAAGTTTTGTAGGGACACGAAAAACTGGAAGCGTGCAATCTCCGCTCGAGCCCAACAAGGCCCGCTCGAGCGGAACGACCAAAATCCTGGCAACAAGATTTTAGACCAAGGTTCAACCTGAAATTAAAGGATGACAACAAGATAGATACAACTATCAACTCCATGGAACCGAGTCCAGAATATAACAGAACAGTAAAGGGACAACCGGGATCGCTATAATCAGGTTTTTTTCAATTTCCATCCAAACAGAAATATGCACATGAATTTAAAGTCATGTTTGAGTTTTCTTGTTCATTTTTCTGTTTTCTTGTGAAACAAATTGACTACCAAGAAAATTAATGAATTTTATATATTTCTTGCCGCGGTAGATCTTCCCAATACATGTGAAGGGCGTTGCCGGGAGCTTGGTAGTGCTAGTGAACTGGTTGGGAGCTTGGGCAGTTTCTTACACTTTCAACTTTCTCATGAGCTGGAGTTCCACAGGTTTAGATGTTTCACAAACCTTTTGGTACAAATAATTGATCAGAAGATGAAAAGCTCTACAACTAATTCCACGTCTTTCTTTATTTATTTATTTTTTTTTTCCAGGTACTTTCTTGTTGTACTCTGTATTTTGCGCCCTCACTGTGCTTTTTGTGGCAAAAGTAGTACCAGAAACCAAGGGAAAAACATTGGAAGAAATTCAGGCATCCATCAACCATATAGACATGGATTAGAGTGGTGAATTTGATATGTGATATTGGCTAATGTGTGTACTATTTTTGAGAATGGAAATCAAAGCAAGATCAAGACAAGAAAGGTTCATGTGGAAACAAGTTCTAGGCTAAGTTGGGTATTGGAATGATGGAGGGTAGTCATGAAAACATTTTCTCTCGGATTTTCATTACAAAATATACGAGTTTTAGAGATAAATTTTTTTTTTTTTTTTTTGGTTTCTAAAAGTATAAAATTTTTTGTAAAAAAACATTTAGGGACTAATTTTAGTTGTCAAGAGGATAGTCGCTAAAATATCGTCTCAAAAAGTCAAAAAATAAACTTTTAGGGACAATTTTAAAAATGCCACTAATAAATACACTTTAAGAAAAAAAAAATTGGTCTAAAAAAAGTTTATTTTTTGAGGCAAAACTTTTGATCTCAAAATGTCAGTAATTCATCACTAAATATCTAATTTTGTTGCTAAAAACAAAATAATAACACTTTTGACAACAAAATTATTTTATCCCTAAATTTTTGCCTTTAAAAGTTTAATTTCTTGTATTGTTTCCAAGAATTTTTTTTGTGGGCAGTGATGTAATCTATTTGAACATTAATGAATGTAAGACACTATACCAATTGAAATTGATTGTTTTCCTAAGAGGTGGTAAAAGAATGGGAGTGGGCCTCGTGTCCTTAGCAATGTGCCTAAGTGACCTATTGAGTTAAATGAAAATGTATTTTTTTGTTTAAAAAAGAAACGATTATAGGATCAATGTAAAAGATTAGTAAAATTTATTTAATGCTAAATTTTTCCTAGATTTGTGGAATTTGTTAAGTGACCTATTGAGTTGAATGAAAATATATATCTTTGTTTAAAAGAAAAAAAAAAGAAAAAGATTGTGGGATCAATATAGTAATTTTTTTTTTTGGTACCATTGGTGGTCAATCTATTTTTATTTTTATTTTTACTGCATTGGAGTGTAAACAATATACATATTAAGGAAAATGGGTGTTTTTAATGAAAATCTTTTTTAGAGGTTCAAACTCTCATTCTAAAATTTCTAATTTTTTGATTTTAAATAATATTTTTTTTTATTGGCTAGCCTCATTCAATCAAAAAAAAAGAAAAGAAAAAAAGAATTAATATTCCTTGATTTATAAGTTTCAAATTAGAAAGTATATTAATTCATTTCAAAATTTAAATTTGAGGGACAATAAATATGAAAAGCAATCTATTAATTTACATTTAAAATTGGCACATAATTTAAAATCATTTAAAGTTAATCATCTCTCCAAATATTTATCATTTAAAATATATGAAATATAACACTCAAAGTCTCAAATTCTATTAAAAAAAATGTGGTGCAGGGGATGAAAAAATTTAAAATCCTAACATAGTTAAAGACATCATGCCTCATATTCATTGAGTTCATTTGATTTTAATTTTTTTTCATTGTATCAAATTAAACCCTACTTTATGTAGGATTGACTAATCTATCTATATCTACACTATATTAAGCAAAATAATTTTTTTATTTGTTCCAAAACATTAATTTAAATTTCTTAATTTTCTAAAAACTTATGAACCTTAAGAAAATGGCACGGAAATATTAGTCCATCTAATTGTATCAATGGTTTTGGAATTTAAAAATCTTAATATAATTTTAGTCTTATATAATTTCAAAATTTTAAAAATATTTACTTCAAAATTTTATATTTTTATTTTTGAAAACTAAATAATACATGTAGTGCTTAAAAAATTAAGAATTTTTTAAAGTTACAATATTTATAGCTCCTTTATTAATTAAAAAAGAAATTCCACATGACACATGTAAACACAAATTAAAAAAATATGTGTAATGCAAATTTTTCTGCTACATCAAAAAATACATGTGTCGTATTTAAAAACGCATGTGTTTTTAACGATATATTTTAATCATATCTAAGCCTTTTGTATATATATTTAAATAAAAAAAACCTGACATAATATATATATGGTATAAAACTATGCAAAAAATTAGTAAAACATTCCTCTCTAATTTTGTGTAGTAGGAGAGGTCTAAGATATTTTTCTTATTAGCTAAGGTCCCTTAACATTTTCACAAAGAAAATTTGACTCAGAGAAATTTTGCTTGACTCAAAGAAATTTCGCTTGACTCAGAGAAATTTCAGTTATGGCTCAGAGAAATTTCTCTGTGAAAATTGAAATTTTTCTAAAGTAGGGCAAAATTTCTCTTAGTCAAGCAAAATTTCTCTGTGAAAATGTTAAGGGACCTTAACTACTATGAAAATATTGTATGTCATTTATTTTATAAAATTTTAATATCAGGAACCTTAAAAAAAATTCTCCTAAAACTATTAGTTTATATAATTGTTTTTTTTTAATTTAAGAATTTGTAGATGGAAAATAATAATAATAAAAAATTAACCGTACCTAAATTGTATCCAATTTGAGATTTTAAAAAAGAATCCAAATAAAATATATTTATTTGTAATTTAAAAATATTGAAATAGAAAATATGAATGGAATTTTTAGCTATATATAATTTGACAAGCTTTAACATAAAATACAACAAAATTGAAAAATTTATAAGACGACATGTATTTTTATTTTATCATAAATATAATTTTTGTAATTTATTTTATTTTTTCTATTTTTACCAATTAAATTACGATATTTATTTCTTATTGAGAATTTAAAATATATAGTTAATGATATAACAACTACAATATATATTCTAATGAAATGGTTAAAATTTAATTCATTTTAAATTTTTTTCTATACATTTTAAATAAATTTTGTATTATTATTTAATTTTTAAATTATTTTTTTAACCTCTACATAGCACGGGTGATATATTAGTGTATATATATATATATATAAATTAGGATTTAGTTTTTAGAATTGGAAACATTTTGATAGAACTAGTACTTGATAGAACTAGTACTTGACAGTAAAATTAAAGAAAAAAAAATTAAAGGACTTTGAGATACATGATTTGACCAATTAAAAATATTTTTAATTTTTTTTTTATTGAGAATTTTAAAATTTCAGACCTTTTAAATTAAAACGCTTTAAAAATTTTAAAAACAACCAAATTTGAAAAAAAAAAAAAACTAAAAACAAAGAAAGTCAATAAAATTGACTTCTTATGAGCTTTTTTTTATTTATTTTTTTATAATTTGGTACAATCTTTATTTTAAAATTTTTTAAGGTAGTATAATATAACAGGAACTAAAATGTGTTGTGCTACAAATGCTTATAGTCCCCTAGCACGTACGGACTTTTCAAGATTGTCATTCAAAACAACGCTAATACTTGATATACAAAACAGGGATCATCATTCATGCTTCACAAAATACTTTTCCAAAACAAGCAAGGCAAGGCAAGGCAAGGCTTTAACAAAACTTTATAACATAACTTTATTAAAAATACCACTCACATAGCTCTTCAGACGTTGGGGTCAAGGCAAGTCCAAGTCCTACAAACACATGGCAAAGTCTGTTGAATGCACTTCCAAACAAATTCACATGCATACAGATGATCTCGGCATCTTTCAAAACCAAGCTAAGTCAAAACAAGACACTGTTTCTTATCTCGGGAAAATATGCTGGGCGACTACCAGGTCTAGGCCGAGGTCCCACACCTCCTTGCCGAGGTGTTGCCTCGATGGCCACATTCAAGGAAATGAGGTCGGGAAAATCTGGGTTTCCCTCTCTCGAAGAACATGAACATGAAGAAGATGAAATCAAGATCAAAATTTGCTATTACAAAATCTGAGATTTCATGCTATGAATTCAAATACATGGACCTGGGTACCCATATTCAAGGATCTTGTGAGAATAAACACAAAACATGAATCTTAATGCGAACTTTCGGATCAAATAAGACTTTTTCTTCAAAAACACATGAACACTATCTTCTTTTTCTAAAACCAACTTTAAACCAATGCATAACATGCAGAACAGGTTCGATCGTGCAATGCAGCTGGATGATCAATAAGAGCGACAAGAGTGAATCAAGAATCTAACCTCAAAACATGAATCTAACGGTTTGATCTCCAGAAATCAAGCTCGAAAGTCTACTCTCTCACTCTAAGACTTCTTCTTCTTCCCAGAGCCTCTCTCTCTACAAGGCAAAGATGTAATACAAAAATGTATATTTTCTGGGTCTGTCGACTGACTTAACACTCAGCTGGGACACGTGGCACTACCGGGTTCGTTCTCCTTAAAAAGGTGGCTGAGTGAAAAGACAAGACTATGACAAAGTGTGTTCAACAAGCAAGATGGCATGGGCACTCTAGCGGGTAATGATCTCGGCTAAGAACAAGGCATCGGCAAGTAGGGGAACAATGATCTCGGCTAGGAAGGACAACACTTGACTAAGTTGTGCCACACCTTGGTCTAGGTCACACCACTCCAGGACAAGATCACTTAGGTGCAAAGGTAACATCTCGGCCTAGATAATACACATCTCGGCCTAGATAATACACATCTCGGCCTTGGTGATGAACACCTTGGCCTAGATAATGACATCTCGGCCAATATGTCAGGTTGAAGGCGGAGGTCAAACAAAGTGGTTCCAAGGAAGTTCTAGACTAAAGATGACCTCGGCTAAACTCACACCAAGCAAGGTACAAAACATGCAGGAAGCACTTAAGCAAGACAAATCAAGGTTTGCAAAGATGCAACATACTAAGATAAGATCATGTAGTATATACAAGTATGACTAGGGTAGAGTGAGGGTTATTACATCCTACCTTCCTTAAAGAAGTTTGGTCCCAAAACTTAATTTACCTTGCTCTACAAATAACCCCGGATAATGGATTTCCATTTCTTCTTCCATTTCCCATGTGGCATCCTTGCCGTAATGCTCCTTCCATTCGATTTTCACCATTGGTATAGATTTGTTCCTCAACCATTTCACTTGTCTGTTAATAATTTTCATCGGCTTTTTTTCATAGCTTAAATCTCCATCGACCACAATCCCAAAATGATCAATCACGTGCAGTGGATCTCGAATATACTTCCTCAACATCGAAATATGAAACACATTTTGAACTTGACTTAATCTCGGTAGTAAAGCAAGTCTGTAGGCAACCGGGTTAACTTTCTCAAG